GATGCCCTGGATCTGAATGGGCGTCGGGTGATGGATGCCTTTCTTCTTCAGGCCTCTCAAGACGGCTATGGAAAACAACCCAAGCGTCATCCTTGTGACTCGAGATACTTTATCAGTACTGTAAATTTGGCACTGTAAAATAGTACTGTAAAATTGGCACTATTCCCACAAGTTGCACATGATAAAACCAAGGCTCAGAAAGAGAAAGAGAGAGAGAAAGAAAAAAAAGAGAGAGACTTGTCTAAGAAACATGGGCTAGGTGGAGCCATGCCCTATTTGCACCTAGGTCTGTCTAAACCCAACATCATTCTCCCGCTGAAGCTCTGTAACAATAGAGGATAGTGAACATGTACAGCTAGGACAACTGAAAAAGGAACCTAAAGAAACCCCTCCCAGGCTGGGCGTGGTGGCTCACGCCAGTAATCTTAGCACTCTGGGAGACTGAGGCGGGCGGATTGCTCGAGGTCAGGAGTTCGAAACCAGGTGGAGCAAGACCCTGTCTCTACTAAAAATAGAAAGAAATTAATTGACCAACTAAATATATATATACAAAAAATTAGCCGGGCATGGTGGTGCATGTCTGTAGTCCCAGCTACTCGGGAGGCTGAGGCAGGAGGATCGCTTGAGCCCAGGAGTTTGAGGTTGCTGTGAGCTAGGCTGATGCCACAACACTCACTGTAGCCTGGGCAACAAAGTGAAAGTCTGTCTCAAAATAAAAAAAAATAAAATAAAATAACACTCACTCTAGCCTGGGCAACAAAGTGAGAGTCTGTCTCAAAATAAAAAAAATAAATAAATAAAATAAAGAAATCCCTCCTAAAGCCCTCTATCTCTAGTAGCTGGGCCCAGTGCTGATGTGGCTGACCTCAGTAGGCGCTAGGAAACAACCTCACAGGTGCTTGATTCTAAAAGCACGATATCGCTCCCCATTCCCAGGTACCTGCAGGAAACTTCATTTCCTTGAAGCTCTTGATGGGTGGCGGGATACCATCTCCCTCCACCAGGATGTGGTATTTCTTCCGTACACGCTCATGCCGCCCTTCAGACATGCTCAGGATGTAACGGGGCGGTGTCCAGCTATGGGTAGGTGGCAGGGATCAAGGAAGGGCTTGAGCACAGCTGGCCTTGGGGTGTCCCTGCTAGTCCCCGCCACACACCACCCTAAATAAGGACAACTAGACTTGAAAGACATACCTGGTTTTGATTGGGTCGTCGTACGTGATGCCCTTTGCCATCTCCTTCACTGACATCAAAGCTGGGGGAAGAGATGTGCCTCAGAGCTGGCTCCTGCTTCTGAGAAGCCAGCCCCCTTGAGATGCAACATGCCCGGTGCTGTGGGGAAGAGGCTCAGTGCACCTCCTTGCTACCCTGGCCACAACCATACCTCGGCCCTCAGCCACACTCTCCAGGATCTTCTCTTCTTCCTTCAGCTGTTTCTCCTTGGCAGACTCCTTGCGGGCTGAGATAAGAAACAGATGTCACAGGCCCGGCCCGGTGGCTCACGCCTGTAATCCAGAGGCGGGCGGATTGCTCGAGGTCAGGAGCTTGAAAACAGCCCACGCAAGAGCGAGACCCCGTCTCTACTATAAATAGAAAGAAATTAATTGGCCAACTAATATATACAGAAAATATTAGCCAGGCATGGTGGAGCATGCCTGTAGTCCCAGTATTCGGAGTGAAGGCAGGAGATTGCTTGAGCCCAGAAGACTGAGGTTGCTGTGAGCTAGGCTGACGCCCACGGCACTCGCTCTAGCCTGGGCAACAAAAATGAAACTGTCTCAAGAAAGAAAAAAGAAAAAAGAAAGAAAGAAACAGACGTCACAGAGACACCAACAGCGTGCCAGGCTTAGCGTCTCCCCTCCCGCCTGGGCAGCGCTGCCCAGCCCACCTTCGGCCTTCTCTTTGAGGTGCTGGTGCTGATCCAGGAGGCTGACGTTGGACTGAGGGCCCAGTGGGATGTCGTCCTCATCTCCCCGGGGCTCGCTGCCGCTGTCCGGCTGCTCCTCCTCCGCAGCTCCCTTGCGTCTTCGCTGCAGCAGCTTCTGGAGCTGAGGGTCCACCGGCGCCCCGCCAGAGTCGAGCCCAGGACAGAACGGGGCACCGGGCCCACAGGGCCTGCGTCAGGACCCTGGCTTTGGGGCAGGGGTCCCGTGCCCGAGGCGCGGAGCTACCCGATCCCCCAGATCCGGTCGTCAGTCCCTCGTTCGCCGGAGGGTCACACTCGCGTGTACTGACACGCCTGACAGCCGCCCTCGCCCCGCAGGCCGGGCCACACCGCCCATGCCATGGCGGCCAGGTGGCCGCGCCCCCGCTGCCCCTCCACAGGGCCCCTCACCAGTAGCTGCCGGCGCTGTCGCAGGGGCACGTAGGGCACGTAGTCCTCGTCGTCCTCATCCTCCGCCTCCGAGTGGCTTCCTCCAGCAGTCACCTCGTCGGTGCGAGCCCTCTGCGAACACGCGGGAGTCAGGCCCGGCTCGGTCCCCCGCCCTCACCCCGGCTTCCCTCCCCGCCGCAAGGACCCCAGGCTCGCTCCCACCTTCCGCTCGGGCTCCGACTCCTCCATCCTTCGCCCCACGCATGCGCGCCACGGCAAGACGCCCCGCCTTACCTGAGCGACAGCCAATCAGGTATGAAGAAGCGGACAGCAGCGGCTGGCGACGGCCTCGGAGTTACGAGTCGCGCAGAGGGACAAATCTTTCTCCCGAGCCGCTCTCGCGCAGCAGGACGCCGACGCCCTGCGTGGCTGGTCTCGCGACTGCTGCCAGGGCTGAGGGCGAAAGCGTCCCATGAGGCACTGTGGGACGCTGGGGCGTGTGGAGCGTGCGCTAAAGGCTCAAACCAAGCCCCGGCGAAGCCGACGCCCTGAGTGGGGGTCGCTGATCCGCAGCCGGTGGCCCGCCGGGCGCGCAGCCTGGCCCTGAGCGTGGCGCTGCCGGCGCGCGCCGCGCCCCCTAGCGGCCGGGAGCTCCGGGGCAGCGCGAGCGGGTCTCCGTCCCGCGCCCGGCCGCTGCGGCAGGGCGGGGCCCGCGGAACAGCCGGGCTCTCTGGCTGGTGTCCCCTTTGTTTGGAGTGGTGAGGGATAAATAAAATACCGATGACAGTGGTTTTTAACCGCGAGGCCCTGTGTAAATGCAAACGATGATTACTGTGAATCTTATGACAATGACAGCTCAGAGGGATTAACTGCCTGGGGAACCAGAGGCGGAGACGTTGGATCTGAGCTGCCAGGGAAGTGTGGGGGCTCAGTGCAGGGATGGAGAGGCTTCCCGGGCGAGGGTGCAGCAGAATAAAGGTCTGGCCATGTGCACAGATTCCTGGGGGGAGGAGGGGGGAAGAAATCACTGCGGCCGGGGAGAGCTGGGCAGCCAGACCCAAGGCTGAAAAAGGAGACTGGGCCCAGAGCACACCAGCCATGACTGTACCAGTAATTTCAACTTCACTTGAAAGTGGGATGACCTGGTCACTGCTGTAGGTTCCTTCATTCATGTTTCATGTGAGCACGTGCTGGGCACTATGCACAGTACTGAAGCAGATAAAGGATGAACAGGACACACCTGGTGGGGGAGGAGCTGACGGATTCATTGAGGAGACAGAAATATATAGACAGGTAACTAGTCTTCACATTAAGGAGAACGATCCTCAGGTAAGGTACCACTTTTGGAAGTATCACAAAGGCAGGGCAAATGGATTTTCATGGTTTTCAAAGTGAAAGGGCCTCTCAGCTGGGATGTGAAGTATCGGCACGAATTCATGAAAGAAGGGTAATTTGGGAAGAGGGAAATATATGAGCAAAAGTCAGGAGACCTGAGGTTGCAGGACCTAGCTGGAGACAGGTCATCCGGCAAGTATTGGAGACGGGGACCCAGGCACAAAGGCCCCTGAAGGACACTCAAAGGAGTCTTTCTCTGTAGATGGATGGGCTACTTGATCAGACCTCCAATTTTTGAGTGATGAAGCAGATTTTCAGATAGTTGTGCCAATCCAACTGCAGGGTACGAGCATCATACAAGAGTTCAAGGGAAAGAGGAACAGGGCTAATGAATATACAAAGGTTTCAAAGGAAGTGTCTACACCACCTTGGGGACTGGGGAAGGCCAGGGACCAGGAATTGTGAGGCTGTGGTCAGTGCTATTTGTTTCCCTTTGGAAAAGGAGGCTGACACTCACTGCCAATCCCATGATAGGGCTCAACCTGGCGGGGAGGGAGCCAGGGAAGAGGGCATGGTTGTTGTTTCTGCTCACTCCATCCACACATGGCTTAGTGACTATGTGGCCATTGTCTCTAGACAGGGTGCTCCCCACATAAGCTCAAATTAAGAGTTGGTTCTGGTAGAGAAAACTACATTGGGGGTAAGGAGTTTGGACACAATTATGTGTGCGGCATTCTTAGCAAACCCATTATATTAAAATCTGAAACATCCCATTGCAGGGATGAGGTGGTTTGCTTTACTTTATAGAAGAGTTCATTATCCTCAACTTTTAAGACTTCAGCTACATGTCCCATTCTCATTGGAAAATAAGATCTAATTTATAAAACACTCAATTTACCCACAACTTCCCCGACTACATCATCAGTGTGAGAACCCTCAACGGCACAGGCTTCAGGTGCACAGTTCACAGAGGCCTCAGGGCTTTCCTAGACTCTTCTCAGGTCCAGAGGCAGAGACCAAGTCCAGCCCCTCCCACTCGCCCAGCTCACAAAGGAGGAAACACATACAGAGCGGGTAGGGGCTGTTCCAGGCTCACATATTGAAGTCCTCCCGAAAGGGCTCGGATGTCAGAGTCATACGAGTCTGTGCTCAACCCTAATTCGCCAGACTGAGTTGTCAAGTCTTTCCTGTCTGTAAAATGGATAATACCATTTAGGATTGCTGTGAGGAGTAAGTGGAAACGGTGCCAAACTGCTTAAGCTTAGTATGTGTTCGATGGCAGATCCCATGCTTTTGAGTATATCCCTCGCCTTACTCCCCGCCCAGACCGGCAAATCACCAACACACCAACTCTGTGTCCAAATGTTGCTTTATCTTTCGGCATGAAAGATCTTCACAGTATCAAAAGAATTGGAAAAAAAATAAAATAAAAACAAAAAACCAAACACAAAGAGAGCAGTTTGGGCCAGCAGTACCATCAGCCCCCGGCCCACAGGCCAGCCCAGTCCCTGGGCTCTGAGTGTGGAGGCTTCGTAGCACCAGGAAGCGGCTCTGCCGAGGTCCTGAGGGGCCTCAGCACAGTGTGGCATCCGTTCAGCTTTTGGTTGGTCAAGGATGGCAGGGAGCAGGGAGGGTCTTGGTTGGGCAGGCAGGGCACACGGAGGGAGAAAGTGTAGACTTTCAACTGGCAGTCGAGGCCTCAGGACGACCTGACAAAGCTCATTCTGGGCAGGGCCTGAGAAAGAACAAAAACGGCAGGATCCCAGTGAACAACAGCCCATGCCCCAGGCTCCCCATACCAACTCTGGGTCCCCATGGAGGCAGGAGCAGCTGGCTGCTACCTTTGTTCCCTGGGCTGAAAACACTGAACAGATTCCCTGGATCACCTCTAGAGGAGGAGGAAGGTTTAGGACCCTGTTGGAGGACAGAGTCCTGGGGTCTGTCAACAAGTGGGACAACCCTTGAGTAACCCCACCCTCTGGCACTCACACTCTTACTGCCCAGAGCAGGGTGGAGGGGGTCAAGGAGAGCTCCTACTGGAAGAGAGGAAGGGACACCTCTACTTTGGAAAAGAGATCAGCAAAGGTGAAAGGGTCAAGAGGAGGCAGAGGGAAAAGATGGCTGGATTTGTTTCCTGGATGGGGATGACAGTGGAACTGAGCCTGTGGGAGCAGAGTCTACCCTTTTCTCTCAGTAGGGACAAGAGATAAAGTGCCTGAGGTCCCTGCTCCTCCTGGCTCCTGAGGTGGTAGAGAAGAGAAGCAGGAAGGCACTTTGGCTCTGCAAGATGCCCTGGGGCTAGATATCTCAGTTTGGTGAAGGTCAGGGAGCCCAGCCCCCTCAGAGCAGAGGAGGGCTGAGGTGAATCTGAAGAAGACAGTCCTGGCTCTGGGATAGCACAAAAGTGCCACAGGGAGCCCAGCCTTGAAAGCTGTCCTGGCTTCAGGCTTTCTGGTCTGCCCCTGGGGAGCTATGGGACCAGGAAGTCTGCTGTCACAGCCCAGAGAGGAGCTGCCCTGGCACTGGCAAGAGGAGGAAGACGACAGGTGGGGGACATAGTGGGAGTCGGGCATTCATGAGCTCAGCCCATCTGGCCCAGCCTTCTACTGCCTTGAGGGCAGCTGTGTGGTTGCCAGCCACAAAAGGCCTGGCCCCAGGGATGAAGCTCAGGGGTGGTATGCAACTGCATAGACACCGAGCCTCAGCCCAGCACAAGGCCTGCCTCCTAGCTGCCCTTCTTTTCCGCACCAGGGTTCCTGGTCCAATGCCTTCTCCAGTCTTCTGTTCCCAGTCCAGAACATCACCCAATACATCAATATTTTGACAAAAGGAGCTGTGCAAGTGGCTGGGATGGGAGGCCAGAGCCATCTGTCTCTTCTTCCAGGAGGCAGCTTGGCTACCAACTTCCTCATGGAAATGGTCCTGTTTGGGAGAGCCCTCACCAATGCCTAAATGACCTATAAGGCCTTGGTCCAGCTTGCCTGTCCCCTCACTGCTTCCCTTGAGGCTGGCCCTTTCTCACACTGCTTCAGCTGGGAAGCACCCTGGTAGCTTGCATTGAGGAGCTGGGCCAGGCAAGTGGAATTCTACCTTGACACCTGATCATGTCTGGGAAGGAGGCTACCCCATGGGGCCTGCCACTGCCTGGGTTCCTTGGAAGGCAGCTGGTAACAGAGGTAGAGCCCTCATGCTGATGTCCCAGGGGACGGCAGTCTGGGAAGGGCCCCTTCAGGGGCACGGGCAGGAGGGCTCAGGAGGGGCCTAGCCCAGGAAGGAGTGATGGAAGAACAGAGGCCTACTGGAGTGGCCCCAGGAGAAGAAATGGGGCCTAGACCTTTGGAGACCGTAGCCAACTGTGCAGTCACTGTGGAGGTGTAGGGGTTAGGACTGCCAAGCCCAACGTCCAACTCCCTGTGCCCCAGAACATAGAATGGTCTGGCAGGGGGCACAGAAGCTGGTAGAGCACAGGGAGTGGGTGCATGCAACACTTGGGGTCTCTATACCTCACTGAGCTGTGCTGGGAGTGGTTTTCTTGAGGCTAAAGTTGGTCCAGTTCACAGCAACTTTCTGACGAGTTTGCTTTGCAGAATCCAAACAGAACCTGTTGGATTTGGGAGATGTGGGAGAAGCACAATCAGAGGTTTCCTCCCTTCCTCACTGGACCCCTCTTCTAGACACTGTGTCCCAACCACTTAGAAGACCGGTTGGCTTTGCATCCTCTCTGGCTCCCAGACACCACTGCCTGTGAACCCAGGGGACAAGGTATAAAGACAGCATGACTGCCTTGGGACACAAGTCCCCTCCTCATCTCCTATTTCACTCTCTAGCTGTACTGGGCTGGCTTCTGTTCCCCTAAGGATAGCCATCCCTTGGCATATGCAGGGGACTGGGTCTAGGACTGCCCCCCCCCCCATATCAAAATCTGTAGATGCGGGCTGGGCGTGGTGGCTCACGCCTGTAATCCTAGCACTTTGGGAGGCCGAGGTGGGCGGATTGCTCAAGGTCAGGAGTTCGAAACCAGACTGAGCGAGACCCCGTCTCTACCAAAAATAGAAAGAAATTAATTGACCAACTAAAAATATATATACAAAAAATTAGCCAGGCATGGTGGTGCATGCCTGTAGTCCCAGCTACTCGGGAGGCTGAGGCAGTAGGATCGCTGAGCCCAGGAGATTGAGGTTGCTGTGAGCCAGGCTGATGCCACGGCACTCACTCTAGCCTGGGCAACAAAGTGAGACTCTGTCTCAAAAAAAAAAAAAAAAAAAAAATCTGTAGATGCTTCCCATATACGTTAAACCATCTCTGGATTGCTTATAATACCAATACAACATAAATGCTATGTAAATAGTTATAACTATATTTTTTTAATTGTTGTATTGTTATCTGTTTTTTGGTTTTGAATGTTTTTGATTGGCGGTTGGTTGAATTCACACAGAAGCAGAACCAGTGGACACAAAAGGCCAACAGTACGCTGTGTTTCTTTCACCCTCAAACCATTATACACACTGGCCCCACAGTCACAAATACCTTTTCGCTGTACCTGGCCACGTTTCCTATTCTTCAGGTTTTAGCTCCGCCACCACACCCTTCTGGAAAGGCCTCCTGGCCTGCCCCACCCCCAGTGCCACTGTGCCCTCGCATCTCCAACAGCTTTTAGCACAGGCTGCAGTTTTTGCTGTCCCAACTCCTTGTCTACACCATGCTTGATTCACTGCAGTCCCCAGAGTTCAGCCCAGGCAGAGCAAGAAACGTGAGTGAATAAACAAAGCAAATAAAGCTAGAAAAAGCCCTGGTTCTTGGGGCCTGACACGGCTCCTCCCTGTCCCTTGCACCTTCCCAGGTGCACCATCCTGCCCTGTGGCACCCGGGTTCCAGCAGACAGGCTGCTGGGAGAGGGCCTGGAGGGGCAGTGAGGTTCCCCAAAGGGCCAGGGCTGAGGAAGCATGACTTTCTGAGGCCCAGGGCACAATACAGGCTGTTTGTGGGCAAAACCTGGAGTCCTCCGCAAGTGGGAGAGCAGGCAGCCCACACCTACCTCTTAAAGTACTCCACCTCTCGGTCAGTCTCATCCATCTCCACCCCGTCCATGTCCTTGGGCAGGAACACATCGTCTAGGAAGACACAGCCAGGAGGGCTCAGTGCCCACCGCCAGGCTTCTGGGGTCGTGCTCTAGGGGCAGTGCTGCCCACGCTCGAGACTGCCCTCCACCCCATGGCCTGGCTGGGGTGGGGGTCAGTCACTCGGTTCCTGGTGCACTCACCCAAGGAGGAGGCCGGCTTCTCCTGCTTGTTGCGGCTGCGGCGGCTGCGGCCCTTGCCCTGGGGCAAGCTCTGTGGCCTTGCTGGGCCTGGGGGCTGCACAGACTCCTGCTCCGGAGGCCGTGCCTTGGCCTCGCCTGGCCAGTTTCGCCAGGAGCTGCCCTTCTCCTTTTCAGTTTTGGGGCTTCCAGACCACCCTGGTCCTGGCTGGCTCCCCCGGCTCCCCACTCCAGCCTCAGCACAGGTGCCCACTTTGGGAGGCTCTGGGACCTTGCCTGGCTGCTTGGGGCCAGGGCTCTGGCCCTTAGCACTGAGAGCCTCTAGGCTGACCGGGGCCCGGGGGGCCAGGCTCACCTCGCTCTTCTTGGTCTGACTGCCCTGTCTTTTGCCCTTCCGTGGCTTCCCACATGAGGCCACCGCCTCAGGTAGCTCCTGCTTGCAACTAGGGACCTCCTTTGGACTTGGCTCCTCAGAGCCAGGGTTGCCTGGCTTGGGTGTCTTGACCCAGATCACCCGGGACAGGTTGGGCACTGTGCTGAGTCTCCTCACTAGCCCGTTCTCGGGGATAATACCAGGCGGGGGGGCCCTCACCTCTGTCCATGGTGGGTGGGGGCCTCTCATTTCTGCCCATGGTGGGGCTGGCTCGCCTGGAGCTTGTAACGTGTGGTTCTGGGGGGAGCCCAAAGTCAAAGGGGACAGGTCAAGGTTGATGTCGGGCCGCTGCTCTGAGGAGCCACTGAGGTTTGAGGGGAGTAGACTCTGGGGCTCGGGCTCAGAAGCCCCCTCCTTAGAGAAGCCATTGCTGTCCATGCTGAGCTCACACACACTGAAGCTGGCACGGATGGAGTCCTTGACCGTGTTCTTGATCTCCTGCAGACGACTGCTCAGGAAGCTGTTGACCCGATCCAGTTCTCGGTCAGGCCACTCCAAGAGCCTCTCCCTGGCAGGCCGTGGCTCCCGGCTTCCAGAAACACTATTCACCTGCTTTAGAGTGTCTGCTGCCAACTGGGCCTTCTCCTTTTCCTGCCAATACAAGAGGCAGTTTCAGCAGGGGCTCGCCAGCTACCAGGCACAATGTGACACCTGACATATCAGCCTGGGGCCCAGCTTTACCACTAACTTGCTGGAGGCAGAACCTCACAATCCTGCTCTGCACAATCCTGTCCCCCACCCTGCAGGAGCGAGGCTGGAACGCAATGAGACAGGTACATATCCTGGAGGTGGAGGGACAGTGACACCCAAGGGGGTAGGGTTTTCACAGCTTGTTCATCCAGAGCCCCAGTGTCAGTCTCAGAGTACTCATCTGCAAATGGCAACAATAATTCTGGAGTGAATACCTAAGTGGGGACACATGTAAGGCAGACGGCCACTAGAGAGACATTCTCTCTAATGCTGTATGTGGTAGGGGAAAAGCCATGGGGCTTCCCAGAAGGAAGAGATGGGGGCTGAGACTACCACGGTAGATGAGACTGAGGCTCTGGGTGGCTGGGATGCCTGTGCCCTCCTGATGCTGGGTCTGGGCAATACCACAGAGGGCAACGTTCCCATAGAAAGGCCACACCTGAAGTGTGCCCAATGGCATACCAGGCATAGCCACACTGGGCCCTCACAGCAGATGCAGAAGCTGCCCCTTTGCCCAGGTGAGGATGGGGAGGCTCAGAGAGGCTAGACCCTGCCAGTCATCTGTGACAGACCAGGATCTAGAGAATCAAAATGAAAGTCTGTGGGCTCTGAGTCACCCCCACCTCTCCGCCCAAGCCCAAGGCACCAGCAGGCCAACAAGGCCTTTGGGGGGGCACAGAAGACAGATGTCAAGACCCTCGGGAAGGAGATGGTGATGGTGCACCAAGTGCTAGATGATGCCCATCACTTCATGGATTTCCAGTGGATTTGGGGATGGAGGAGGAAAAGCAGGAACAGGAAACTAAGGAGACAAAGAAAAGAGGGCTTGCCACCACCTCAGTCCGCTCAGAGTGACCGTGCACCGTAGCGGGCAGGCCTGTATTCTCTCACTGCTCGTGAATGCTGGCTCCACAACTGACTATGGTCAGTTGTCCCTGCGGGACCTTGGACAAATCACTTATTCTCTCTGAACCTTACTTTCGCTGTTTGTGAATTAGGGAGAAAAACACCTATACCTCACAGGGTTGCTACGATAGCTGGGAGGGTCCGTGTGGAGCCTCTTGCCCTGCATGTGAAGGCTGGGCCTGGGCACTGTGGTGCTCAGGGGACAAGCTGCTCCGTCTGGAGCAGTGTTTCCAGCTGTGCACAGAGTGTGGAGGCCATGGGGACGGGCGAGAACAGCAGGGCCCTTCACCTCACTCCGCCCTGCACCAGCATGACTCTGCGGCTTCTGTTTGTTATAGATTGGGGTTTCATGGAAGATTTCAGAAGAAATTCTTGTGATTAAATACAAAAAGTCTGAAAACTACTGGTGTGGAGGGAATGACATAGGACCACATACACATACATTGGTAGCAAGAGAAGGAGAAAGCACAGAAATGCACATTTTCTACTATGTACAATGAGCCTGCTACTTTCCATAGGTTGTCTCATTTAATCCTCACAGCTGTCCTTGTTGCATCATGATCCTCAATTTATAAATTAGGAACCTTGACTTCGGAAGGAATAAAGAACTAGCTCAAGGTTACACGGCTAGTAAGTGGCAGAGTCAGGACAATACACCCAGGTATGATCTCCAGAAGTTCCCCAAGTTTCTCAACTCCATCTGACAACCATTTACTGACCATCAACTCTGTGAGGCAATGGGCTGGGCTCTGGGAGTTGAGCCAAGTGTGAAGCACAGTCTCTGCCTTGCTGACATTAGTATGACGGGGGAGACAGACATGGCAACACAGGCTGCTTAATTTAGAGTGACGGTGACAAGGGAAGAAAGCACAGGGTGCTCTGGGAACCTAGAGGAGGTATTCCTAACTCAGACTGGGTCATCAGGGAATGCTTCCCAGGGGAGGTAGTATCAGCACTAAGCACTGAAGGGCAAATGAGATCATCCTGGAGAAAGTGAGACAAGCTCTACCTAGACAGAAGGAAGGACAGTGTGAAGGCTGGGAAATGGGAAAGCACAGTACCTTCAGGGATTGCGAATCATTCAGCTGGAGCCCAGATGGGAGTTGGGGGAGGGAAGGGGCAGGCAGGGCGGGTGGGCAGGAAGGCCAGAAAAGAGAGGCTGAGGGATGACGCTGGCAAGCTAAGCAGAGGCTGGATCATGAAGAGCCCTGTAGGCCACGCTAGAGTCTGGGTTTGATCCTGAGAGCCATGTTCAGCCACTGAAGGCTTTAAAGTAGTGGCAGTAGAGTAGAGAGAAGTAGATTGGTCTGAGCTATTGGGGAAGTGGCATGGATAGGACTTTAGGTGACAGGAGGGGAGACAGAATGAGTCAGGAAAACAATACCAACAACCATGATGGCTGCCAAGCTACCACCGACCCAGCACTCAAATGTGCCAGGCACTCTGCCCAACATTTCCATGCACCACTTCATTTCATCCTTGCAATAATCCATGACTTGGGTTCTGTTACTCTCATTTTGTGGATGAAGAAATTGAGGCTTAGAGATTAAGTGATATGCCTAAGGTCATACAGCAAGTGTGGCAGAGCTGAGCTTCAAACCGTGGTCCAATTCCAAGGTCCGCTGCTCTTGGTCACTGTGATGCACGTCCCCAGGATGGTGCCCATGGTTCTGATTCAGGAACAGGGTGGACGGTGGTGCCATTAACTAGAGAGACAACGGAGAAGGAAGAGCAGGCCTCTTTGGAGAAAGATAACAAGCTCAGTCCGGGATGTGCTGCGTTTGGATTGCCTGAAGGATATCCCTAAGGAGATGCCCTGTAGCGGTGGGAGGCGTCAATGTGAAGTGCAGGGAGGAAACACTATCTGGACCTTTCTAGGTGACCTCTCTCTTTTCCAGGGAGATGTCCTCAAGAGGGAGAGTTGGGGAGAGGAAGAGGAGCTCACAGAGAGACAGAAAGGAAGTCAGAGAGGCAGGTGAGAAATCTGGAGGATACGGTATTCCTGTTGCCCTTTCCTTGGCCCTGCTTGGCTGAGGACAGAGCAGCCAAAGACAACGTTTGAAAAGGAGGCCAAACAAAATGTCAAATGTTCTTAGTAAGCAAACAAGATGAGAACAGGAGAGTCAGCCTCCGATTTGGCAACAAAGAATTCCTTGGTGACTCTGTGGAGGGGGTGTGGGTAGAAAACAGTCTACAGTGAGCTGACAAGGGAAGTGAACACAGACACCATTTTTCAAGAACTTTGACTATGATGAAAGGAAAGGGACTGGAGGGTGTGTGAGAGGGACAGTTTGCTTTCAAAAAAGAGTGAGTAGTGGGCACAATGAAATGTGGATAGGAAACAGCTTGGAGGAGAGCAGAACTGAACTACAGAGCAGGAAGCTCAACGCTGGCCGGAGGGGGCGAGAAAGGACTGCATGGGGCAGAGCAGAGGCTCATGCCTGTAATCCCAGCACTGTGGGAGGCCAAGGCAGGAGGATCACTTGAGGCCAGGAGTTCGAGACCTGCCTGAGCAAGAATGAGAGCCTGTCTCTACAAAAAATACAAAAATTAGCTGGGGGTGGTGGTACATGCCTGTGGTCCCAGCTACTCGGCAGGGTGAGGCAAGAGGATTGCTTGAGCCCAGGAGTTTGAGGTTGCAGTGAGCTAGGCTAGAGCCACTGCACTCTAGCCCGGCGATAGAGTGAGGCTATCTCAAAAAAAAAAAAAAAAAAAAAAAAGAAAACAGAAAAGGAATGAACAAAAGAATGTCTGCTCAATGACTTTTTTTCCCCTCACTGAAATACGTTATTTGCTAAAAAATAAGATGAGGCTGGGAAGGCCTAGATGTTTGAGGAGAATGGAGGGCTGACAAAGGGGCTGTGGTGAGTGGAGGTGATGAGGCCTGGCAGGCAAGGCAGGGCTCACAAGGCCGGGTGCTACAGATTCAATCATGTGCTTCCCACAAGATGTAGAGGGAGAGGGGAAGGGGAGGCAGGCTGGGGTGGAAACCAGGGATGCGGTTTTTACGAGTTTGAAGAGAGGGCAATGGGGCAAGGAAGAAAGAGAAAGCATTAGGTCAATTTGTGTATTCTCTTACCTGTCCTTAGCAATGTTTACTCAGTTCAAGTGACAGAATGAGGGGCTGGCTGGGAAAAAGAGAAGGCAGACAACAGTCTTCAGTGGGTGTAAAGGAGTGGCCAACAGGTGGCAGATGACAGAGCAGGGGTTTCTACACAAAGCCATGAGAGTGGCAGTCTGGCAGTGGGATGAGGGAGCAGAAAGACAGGTGGCTCTATTTACCTCCTGAGGTGGGAGAGCATGAGCAGCCATCACTGGGCAGCTACTGGGGGAAGCTGGGTTGGTGAACAGCGAGGTTGTGGTTACGTCTGGGAGGCAGACGGACATTAGGGAGGAGAGGCTGCTGTATAAATACATAGTGACCATAATCACCTATCACAGGACACTGCAACTGCCTGTGTATGTATGTCCTGCCCACAGCCCCACGACTAAGTCTAGAAAGCCAGGGTTATCTGATTCCATCTGTGCCCTGGCCTCTGGCCTGGGCCTGGCAGACAGGAGCTGCGCAGCAAGCTGTGGGATGGGTGAGCACCGTGTGGTCAATGGCAACCCAGAGAGACATGTGAGGTGTGGTGGAAGCACAGGGGAAGAAGTTAGCCAAGACCATCTACAAAGGAGGCAATAGCTGAACTGACCTTGGAGGGAAAGTTTGTCAGGAAGACAAGGAGAGAGAAGAGAGCATTATCAGTAAAGGAGAAGGGATGTCTGAGCACACACATTTATGAAAAGCACACCAGGCCTGGCAACTGCCAAGTGTGCTCTCTGGGAATCACTGCCCTGAGAGGCCAGGAAAGGCCAGAGAGACGCCTGCAGCCCAACACTCTGGCTGGGCAGCTCTGGACAGGAGAAACAAAGTGCTGCTCATTTTCTGAAGGCAATGGTGGCACCCCTTGGCTCACTACTTCAGGCTGCAAGAGAAGGGTCCTGGTTGTTGTTTGGGCTGGAAAAAGACGGAGAATCACTTCTGCTTTCCAGAGCACTAGGGCTGTTTGACCACCCAAGAACTGGAGCTAGCTGGTTGTTAAACACAAATCTCTTCGGATGCTGTGTCACTGTGCAGATGCAGCTGGGGGTAGCCAAGCGAAGAGGTAATGAAGCCACAAGGGACAAGCTATCAAGCCTTGGGGCTCATCTGGCAGCAGGACTGCTGGGAAACAGCTTGCCAGGTTCTATCCTCAGCCCCGAGGACTGGTTCATTCCCATGGCTTCAATTACATCTCTGTGCTGGCAACTGCTAGCCCCACACCTCCATCTCCACTTGGATGTCTCATGGGAACCTCTGAGTCAACATGCCTCAACTGAGTCCACTGTGTTCTGCAAATCCCATCCTGGCTCCGTGAAAGGCACCACCATCTTCTGGTCTCTAAGCAACACCTGGGACATGCCCCTGACTCCACCTCCTGTTCTGTCATCAGAGCACCAAGGCCCGTCACTTCCACGTTCCTCTGAAAATCTCTCCTGTTCCGGCCCCACTATCAACCATCTCTCCTATCACTTCCTGCCTGAGGTGTCAAACTCAACGTTTTCCTGCCTCAAGTATCACCCCACCAGTCTACCTTCCACAGCGCCATCTGTCTTAGAATATAGACGTGACCAAGTACATTCTTTGATTACAACCCTCCTTACCTGTAGGATAAAGCCAAGCTCTTCAGCAGGCCTCTGAGGCCCTCCCTCAACCCCACTGTGCATCCCGCCACTCTTCTGTCCTCAGTTTTGACTGCATCAAGCTGCTGGGGAATGTGCTGTGCCTGCCGGCAGGAGGGCCCTCCTGATGAATCTGCACTCACTCCCTGTGTCTCAGCTCACGAGTCAGCCTCTTGTAAAGCCATTTCCAGGCAGGGTGGGAGACTTCCCTCATCCTGGTACTTGTCACATGCTAATATACTTGTCCGGTTTTTTGTCACTCTCCCCATTGGACTGAGCTTCTCCTGGGTGAGAACTTAACTGCGTCATGCTTTGGCTGCCAGTACTTGTAGAAGCATTTGCTTGAACGAATAAATGACCAGCTGAAGCAAGTCCTTGTCTTGGAGGAATCCAGCAAGCAGCTTCTGAGGCCAGGACACGCTTTTCCTCCAATCATTTGCCCCGGGCTCCCTGACCCTGATGCCTCCCAAATGCCTTCAGACCTTCCCAGAACAGTGAGCCAAGCTGAGGCCTTTGGCAGCCAGCACCATTCACACCCCAGAAGTCTTGGGGTTTGGGGTGAGGGATTCCTCAGGGAGGAGAGGTGGCAGAGCTGAGCTCCCCCCCACACCCACCTTCTTTTTCAGCTTGTGCCGGGCCCGCTTGGCGGCCCTGGCGCTGTTGGGGACTTTGGGCTCCTTGCTGTTGATGAATTCCAGCAGCTCATCCACATCTCGGTGGTCCACGGCGGGCTCCCCAGGGATCCCGCCCAGGGCGCCCCCCTTCATGGGCAGCTCCTCTTTTCGCCTGGTCAGCCTTGAGCGGAGCTTCTCCCGGATCTCGGTATAATTCCGACTCGTCGGGGCAGCGGGTGGCTGGGGGAGGGGGAGGTGCTGACATTACACCCTGGGCCTGGGAGGCCCATAGCACTCCCACCCGCTGGCACCAAGTATGTGGTGAGAAGCGAGACAACTGTTCTCTCTACCATCAGCCACCAAGGCCCAATGGCTTCACCCTCAGCCAGGCTCTGAACTGGTGGGTGAAGGGAGTGGGAGGGAACAGGGCAGAGCTGGGCAAACACTGACTGGGGAGCCAGGAAAGCAAGTTTGAGCCTGGGCCTCGTCACTGGGAAGCTGTATGACCTTGGGCGAGTCACTGAGTCTTTGTGAGCCTCAATTTTGTCATCTCTAAAATGAGGATATTAACCCCTAGCTCAAAGGTGACTAGCAACTTAATTACTTTCATTTCTTCTATCCTCAACTGCTCTACCCTAACCAGCAATCCTTTCCTCTTCACCTTATGAGACTTCTGAACTGCTTTCTCCCCCTGTCCAGAGACAGCATGTACTCTGATCTGAGCCTCCTTCCTGGCGCCATCTGTGCTCACGGCCTGTCCCTCGGCTGGCTGTCACACTTGGGGAACTGAGAGCCTTTTTGCTTCCACTCTGCCTTCATCACGCCCAAGCGTTCACTTCTCTGGGATTACACACGTATACATACTCATCAGAATCATAGCTTTCTCTCTGCCACTTCCTTTCCTTTTGCCTAAGGAAAAAAAGTCAATCTTAAGAGAAACCACAAGAAGAGCAAAGGTAGCAAAATGTTAAAAAATACCCTACCTCACAAAAGTGCTGTGAGGATCAGGCGAGCGTATGCAGGTGCAAGGACGCACATGGTCCAAGCGCGGTGATTAGCACCATGAGCAAGAGGTCTCTGAGGGGGAGCAGGGCACTCCTTCTGCTCACCTTGGCTGGCCCCCAGCCCTTTCTGGTCTGGCAGGCTCACTCACCGCATTGTGGCCGAAGAACTCACAGTAGCAGCAGTCGCAGAACTTCCCGTCTCTCTGGTGGGTGGAGGACGAGGTGCAGGAGCTTCGCTCGGAGCTGCTATCCTCTTCCTCGCCCAGCCCCTCATCTGCCTCGCAGGGCTGGGGCAGCTGGCAGGCCAGGCCACTGTGTGCAAACTTGTGCCCCTTGCACCCAGGGTCTCTGCTGATAGGGAGAGAGACAGGCCCAGAAGTGAGGTCGGGTGATGCAGGATCAGGTCACAGCAGGAGCCCATGAAGCGTCCATCTGCCACCTTAACTGCCCTCCACCCGCCTCACTCCACAGAAGTCCGAGGCAGTCATGCCAGCACCTCTCAGAGTGACAGGGCCAACACCTGTGGTGTCCCTCAGGGCCCACCACAACCACAAATGCTGCTCTTCTGGAAAGGTTCCCCATGCCTCCCCTGCTTATGCCCACCACATGTCCTTCTCGGGGCACTGTGTACACCTCTTTCCATCCTCCTGTTTATTGTTCGTTCAGGCAGGAACTGTGTTGCTTCTATTTTGGGGTTTCAGGGTATAGCATAACAACCATGCACACAAGAGGTGCTCAATAAGTAGGTCTGAACTGATCAGTGGGCTGATGGCTTCCCTGGAACATTCAGGGGGTCAGTGACGTCACTCTCCTTTCACTTTCTAAAGTCCTTATGACCGAATCATGCTCTGCAGCAGTGGGTGGAGCTGCCTTAACCACAGGGCACTGAGCTGAGGAAAATCAAGTGTCTTCAGGGCCACAGACTATAAGGGCTACAGGTACTGCATTCAGCATGTTATTTCTGACCATCCCAAGTCCTGCAAAATATAAGTGTCATTATCCCCTTTATGCAGTGGTGGAGACTGAGGCTCAGGGTGCTTAACTGCTCTGCTCAGCAAGTGACCAGGACTCAAAACCATGTCTCTCTGTGTGCAAAGCTCATTGCACTCCCCTGCCTCTGGACTTTGGGAAGCATCAAGGGAAGCTTGTAATACAGAATATCTTGGCAGGGTCAGAATGAGACATGGGCCTGAAAGGTCTGAGAATGGGAGCTGGGAAGAACCACAGCCCTCAGCTGGGCCATCAGCAGCTGAAGTGCTGCAGGAGCTGGTGCCAATGCTGAGGTTCCAGGAGCCAGGGGAGCTGAGAGCAAGGACAGAGCTCAAGGAGCCATGTGGACACCTAGTCCAGCACAGCCCCTCTCTGCTGTTAGGAAGGACACTGAGCCATGGAAAGGATTTAAAAAAAGGAGGGTGGCAGGAATCATCATCAGTGGTGCTTATAGAAGTTTATTCCGAGTCAGCCAATCTATCACATTAGCAAAATTGATTTTAGAAAAATTAAAACACCCAGTGCTCCTGAGAATATGGAAAAACTAGCACTCATTGTTGGTAGTTACATCAATTTGGAAAGCCCTCCTCCAAAAACAAAACAAAACAACCCAAAAAACAAAAAAACAAACACCCTTTGATAACTTTTTTTCATTCCGAGGAATCTGTTAAAGGAAAAAAATCCAAAAGAGGAAAAAAGCTCTTAGAGATGTTATTTATAATGTTAAAATATTAGACTGACTAAATGTTCACAACTGGACTACGGTCAATGTTCTCCAGCCTTTAAAGCTGTGGGCTTGTAACACCACGCAGGAATATGACATGCTGACAAGGTAATGCTAACTCTGGGAGACTCTGGTTTTCAGAGGGTGTAAACTGCCCAGATACCATCGACACCAAGTGTAACGAAGACACCTGAGGGAAAAAAAACTGCTAAGAGTGGTTGCTTTAGGGCAGTGGGATTCTAGAATGGGAAAATCTAAATGCATAACAAACACAAGTCAGATTTGTAATATAAAAATATAGGCCGGGCGCGGTGGCTCACGCCTGTAATCCTAGCTCTCTGGGAGGCCGAGGCGGGCGGATTGCTCGAGGTCAGGAGTTCAAAACCAGCCTCAGCAAGAGCAAGACCCTGTCTCTACTATAAATAGAAAGAAATTAATTGGCCAACTAATATATATAGAAAAAATTAGCCGGGCATGGTGGCGCATGCCTGTAGTCCCAGCTACTTGGGAGGCTGAGGCAGAAAGATTGCTTGAGCCCAGGTTGCTGTGAGTTAGGCTGATGCCATGATACTCTAGCCTGGGCAACATAGTGAGACTCTGTCTCAAAAACAAAAACAAAACATACATTGATCTTCTCCAAAGAATTCTTTCAAACATACATTAATATAACCTTTCTCAGCACTTAGAGTTACTCCTAGGAATCTCCCTAAATGACATAGTTACTCATTCAAAAACAATCTGGTGCAAGGATGCTCATTACATCCTCATTTGTCACGGTTAGAAAACTGGAAATGCCTAAATGTCCAGGAATAGGGGAATGATAAAGTAAATTATGCTAGAGCTATACAGTAAGACATTATTTGGCTATTAAAAAGTAGCAAAGAATTTTTACTGGGGAAATAATGTAATGTTAAAAAATTACTACTAAACAAAAAAGTATACCAAACAGGTACCTAATTATGTCATTTATATACAGAAATATCAAGAAGAAAATATATCACAGTGGTATAAGTTTATCTTTAGGTTGTGAGAACGTTTTTTTCTTTATACGGTCTTAATTGTTCTAAGTTTTTTTTTTTAAAAAAAAACAATAAACACATATTTTGTTCAAAATTATAAAAACAATTTAAAAAAACCATAGTCTAGGCCAGGTGTGGTGGCTCATGCCTATAGTGCTAGCATTTTGGGAAGCTGAGGCAGGAGGATCGCTTGAGCCCAGGAGTTTGAAGTTGCAGTGAGCTATATGATTGACACCACTGCACTCTAGCCCCCAAAAACTGTAGTCTATCTTTTACTTTACACCCCAAAAGGTATACTCATCAAAGTTTTCTAAAACTCTAAGTTCAAGTGAGCAGGGAGTTTGCCCTTCATGCTGGCACTTACCTGTGAGTGCTAGGGAGTGGCTGAGAGCTTGGTGGCGGGAGGAGAGGCCCACTGCAGTGCCCACCGCAGTGCCCGCTGCAGGGGTGGCCACACCCTGAGAATGGTGGAGGCATCTTCAGGAGCGGCATGCTGGTGGAGGGCAGGTGGGGGCTCTGACATGACCCTGGGGTTTGGGGAGCAGCGGCAGCAACGGGGCACTCTGAAGCCTGGGCAGGGAAAGGTGCTGCCGGGGTGGCAGGCAGCAGGTGTGGGTGGGGTGGGGAGCCACAGGAGCCAGGGTGAGAGGGCGTCAGAGATGCTGGCTGGGGGTGGTGGCCGGTGGGGCTGTTAGGGGGAGCAGTGAGGTCTGAGTGCTGGTGGTGCTCCAAGATGGGGAAAGCCTCACCTGTGGGCAGAGGGAGGAGAAAGGGGTCAGAATGGGAGCCCAGACCTGGGAAGGAAAGCCCAGAGGCTGACTGCCACCACATCCTATTTTGCTGTGACCAGAGGGCACAGACTCTCAGCACAGGGGACCCTGGAGCTGGAGAGGATTCTATGCGCAGCAGGTTGACAGGCTCAAGGGAGAAAGCACTATGAATGCTGGCCCGCAAAAGGCCCCATACCTTGCTATTTTTTTCCCTCTCTCACTCTAAGTAGACATTATTTATTACCTGTGTCAATTTATAGGTAAAGATGACATACTTTGACCAATGTCTACTAACCTAACAATTTCTCTGGTCCCAAATGTATCCTATTCTATGGTGACCAGTGGAGCATCCAGATTTGAGGATCCACCCAAAGTGGCACTATATCTAAAAACTTTAGTATAAAAAAACTGAAAATCTAGATTCTTAAGGACCTCACAAGCTGATCCATAACTTTACTCTTAGCTGGAGAAAGATATGGCATATATATGAGTCAATACACTTACATATTCAAAAACCAGCAAAATTTTTTTTAGTCTCCCTATGTGACATTTAAAAGTTATCAATCTCTAATCACCTGGGGAAAGGCAGAATGATGTGAGAGGTAGGTGTGTGGGTGATTAAGTCTGCCATGAACGGGCTGCGTGTTCTGTCTTGCAGGGTCTCCATGTCTTGCCTGCTCAGAGGTGTTCCTGAGGCCTGGGGCAGGTCTGCAGAAGCCAAGGAGCAGCAGGCCAAGGCTCTGCCTCTGGGCCACGGGGACCAAAGCAGCCAGGGTATGCCAGACTCCTGGGGGCCCAGATTTCAGAGAAGTGGGAAAAGGCCGTGACAACTCTCTGTAGCTTATGTACCGAGATAAATGGAGTTACGTTCTGTTCAACTTTCACAATTCTGGAGTCAGCACCACTTTGAAGAACTCGGCCCTTCCACTTAGAAGTATGACAGTAAATCGTATTTACATAATAAACTAATAGCCCACAGGTTTTGTCTCTGAGAATTATCTGAGTCTAAAGAAGACTTATACAGCAGCTAAATTGGCTAATATCATTATAGCTTGAACTGCCAATCTCTTGTAGACATAAGTACAGTGCTTTTATACCTATCCCTCAGGTAGGGAAATCAAGGCCTAGGAAGACAAGGTCATTAGGTCTTCTATGGTGTTACAGGGGTCAGATGTCAGGTGATCTAAGTCCTACTTCCCTGGCCGTCCTTCCAGATGCCACTTCCTACTCATACAGTACTTGCCAGGTCCCTCTAGGATCCAATGGGAACAACTGTGAGAGCCAGTAACAGTTTTGAGGGGTATATTTTTCTCTACCAGCAGTATTATGCTCAGAGTCTTGAGGAAAGGAGTTCCATAGTGTCTAGGCTGCTCCTGCTTCCATGAGAACAGCTCCACTTTTACTTACTTTAGTAACTGATCTTGTGATTTGTTTCAACAAAATGGATATGAAAACACAGCTGTCTGCATTTACGGGGCCTGGCTCTCTCCCGAGCTTGGAGACTCACCGGGGATGGTAGGAGGACTCCCAAGTGAGCTGCCTGGCATGGCCCCACTGGAGTGTGGGGAGTTCCAGAGGCCCGAGAGCTTATGTGCTGACAGGAACGAGCTGGGATCCCAGTCCCCTGAGTTCCCATGGCAGGAGGAGGAGGAGGACGAGGACGAGGATGATGAAGAGGAGGACGAGGACAAATGAGAGTCACCCCCACAAGACTGCGATTTGCAGGATGTATGTGACAAGGAGATCTGGAGAAGGGAAAGAAAAAGGCTCATGGTCAAACTGCAAACATCAGAGCTGACCCTCTGCTGCCTCAGCTTACCCTCCTGGGGCCCTCTTCCTCCAGGCCCCTGTGCCATGGCCAAAACAATCAGCACAGCTCCAGGTCAGAGACAAATAGGGCCAGGCAGGGGCTGTGATGCTCCCAGCTACATGAAGTGTGCAGAGACTGTGGCAGAGGCAGACTGCCTGCAAACTGTGGGGAACAGCAAGAGCTGCCAGTGAGAGGAAGGGCCTTTCAGTCAGGAGTCTGAAGCTAAACTGATCCTGGGCAAAAGGAGGGTCTGGAGGGGAAGACCAAGGCTGCCACAGAGCTGAAGGCAGCAGGCTCACACACAGAGGCAGGATCACCATGGGTTGTCACAAGTTTCTCCCTTCTTCCCCCAAATTTGAACCCAAGCTGCTAATGCCGTGTCAGTGCAGCCCGGCAGCCCCCATGCCTGGGCACGGGGCTGCCTGACGGCAGGGAAGGAGCAGGCTGACTCCTCGGGGGAGGCAGCCCTCCTGCAATCAGGGACCCCACCCTTCAGTGGTTACCTACCGCCACGGCATGTTCTCGACCTGTCTGCCTTTCATCTTCCTCCATGCTCTTTCGGCAACTCTGGCAGACCCATAAGGGCATCTCTCCTAGGAGGTTCTTGACGAGCTTTGGCATGAAGTCGGGGGGCAGCTTCTCGCCCTGCAACACCAGTCCGTTGTGAGAAGGGCCTTCTTCCCAGCCTTTGCGTTCCCGGTGACACAGCAGGCAGCAAGTCTGCAGGGAGTGGCTGGCGGCGAGAGGGACCTGCCCAATAGACAGAAACAGGGTTTCCCAGGACGGGAAAGGCTCTTCTTAGAAATAATGGTAACAGTATTAGTAACGCCACTTATTACGTGCCAGGCACTGGGTTAGGCACTTTACATACATAATTTTAGTCCTTGTAACAGCTCTGCAAATGAGGTGTTCTTATTCCCGCTTTTTTTTAGATGAAGAAACAGATTTTGAGAAGTTAAATGAGTTGCCCAAGGTTATAGAGGTTGAACCCCTGTAAGCCTAACTCCAAAGCTCATGCTCAAACATCCTAATAACCTGGCGTCCCCAAATCTTAAAGGTTAAAGAGAAGATGGCCTTTCCCTCTCTGGCATGTCTGGGAGGGGCCACAATTCTTGGGCTGCTTGTGCAGTCTACAGACCAATCCCCATCTGGAAGGAAAGAATGCTTTCAGACAAGGGAGATTTTAGGAGAACATGTGAGTTTTCTGCAGAGCTGCACAATTCCTTTAGGATCACAGCAACAATTTGGAGGGGTGTGTACAGTCAAAAAGCATCAACTCTATTGAAAACTGTCAAGGGGAAGGAAGGTAAGGCTCTGGCTGGTACTCTTGGGAGGCAGTGAGTGTGGTGAGAAGAACTGGGCTTTGGGGTCAGACAGATACGCACTCTAATCCCTGCCTGACCACGTATTAGCTGGGTGACCTTGAGCAAGTTATTTAACTTCTCTGAGTTCCAATTCCTACCTATCTTGCAGAGTTGTTTTGAGGATCACTGCATAAGCAGGTATAGTGCCTGTCCCTGTGCATGCCCATAGCATGGGCCCAATACACAGTCATTACTTAGGGCTTTTTTTCCCTTCTAGGACAAACTTGACCCAGAAATATAAGCCAACAGGTTTTCTTTCACACTAAAGGGCCCTGACTAGAAGACTGATTGCTTTAGTGTCCTCAATTAACAGCTTTCCTATACCCTGCAACTTTGCATTCCCTCCGCCTCTGACACTGGGCTCGGCTATGTCACTTTCTTTGGCCAATGGGATATTAGGAAACCAGATGCCAGCCATAAACTTAGAGTGTATGCATTTCCGCTTGCTTCCTTGCATGGCTGGGCTTGCTGAATCTTGCACCTCTGCCATGCCATGAGAGCCTGACCAGGCTAGCTGCTGGAGAGATGTGAGAGACGTGTGGAGAAAGCACAGTTTTCTCAGTTGATCAGTCTGCTGATCAGAGATAAGTGAGCCCCACTGAGATCAGCCAAGCCTGTTCAATCAGCAGAAACACCCAGGCAAGCAATGGACTCATGAGAAACAGTAAATGGTGCTGTTTTAAGCCACTAGGTTTTGGGGTGGTTTGTTATGCAACAATAGTTAACTAACATACCGTCCAAACTTACCCACTGCTAGGTAACATGTGCTTGCAGAAGACTAAAGGAATAATAAGGGTATCATCACCCCTCATCCTACCAATAAAACAATGTCATCATCTTTCTTGCATGAAATCACCTTCTCACAATGAGTTGGCATCAGGGTATCCTTAAATCTGTAATGTATAATTACAACTGACCTGGGTCCCTGGTTTCTTGAAAAACAAAGGAACCCAGCGGTAGTACCAGGAGCATAATGAAACATTTGGGAGTACTTGGAAGTACAAGGAACTCAGAAAAGAATACTACAGAGATACAAATTTTACATGTGCAACTCCCAAAGGATACTGCCTAAATTAGTCTCTGCCAAGGGAACATTTCAGTGAAGCAAGGTAGTTGCTAAATGGAAACTGCAAAAGGAACCTGTTGATAGTAACTTCTTATGGAAAGGGATGGAAAGTTGATAGAGAAGGATGTTGTTCAGAGAAACGAAGGCAAAGGAAGCCTCTCTGATGACTATACCTAGGAGATGTTACACTGCTACAAGATGCCAAAAAAGAAACTCTAGGGGCCAGGCGCAGTGGCTCACGCCTGTAATCCTAGCACTCTGGGAACCTGAGGCAGGCGGATCGATCAAGGTCAGGAGTTTGAAACCAGCCTGAGCAAGAGCAAGACTCTGTCTCTGCTAAAAATAGAGAAAGAAACTAATTGGACAACTAAAAGTATATATAAAAAATTAGCCAGGCATGGTGGTGCATGCCTGTAGTCCCAACTACTTGGGAGGCTGAGGCAGGAGTTTGAGGTTGCTGTGAGCTAGGCTGACATCACGGCACACTAGCCAGGGCAACAGAGTGAGACTCTGTCTCAAAAAAAAAAAAGAGAAAAAAACAAAGAAAAAAAGAAACTCTAGGTAGAGGAGGTGAGGCTAATGTCCAAGTCCCTTTCCCTGTTGTACTGGTGAACACATTCTTAAGGCAAACACCAGGACATGTAATTTTACTATATAGTTTTATTTCATTTGAGTGCTAGGGTTTCTAAGTCATTAGTCATTACATAAGCTGAAAATCTTGTATGAGTAAAATTATTCTTGAAATTCTTTATATGGTCTGTAAAGTACAATACACAGTCATCCCTTGGTACCTACGGGAGATCAGTTCCAGAACTCCCCATGGGTATCAAAATCTACAAATGTTCAAGTCTGTGATATAAAATGGTATAATATTTGCACATAACCTACGTACATCTCATAATATCTAGATTGCTTATAATATTTAATATAATGTAAATGCTATATAAATGTTTTATCATATGTTTTAGGGAACAAGGAAAAAATGTTTGTACATGCTCAGTATAGATGCAGCAATCCATTTTTTTAAATGAGTATTTTCTATCCATAATTGGTTGAATCAACAGATGCAGAGGGTTGACAATATACGGTTTTGTAGGTATGACTAAGAATTCAAATGTATAAGGCCATGTATAAGTGTTTTTTGTTTTATTTTAAAAGTAAATACACAATTCTTTTAAGTTAACCATGTGACTAATGTGACCCTACTTAGTGCCAAAGTACTTGTGGGAAGGCACTGGGGCACAGTGGGAATACTGTGTTTTGCCATTAACCTGGGCCTACAACGCTTACCAGCCGTATGAGGCTGGGCAATTCTACTTACCCCCTCTGTTTGCTCATCTGTAAAATGGGATTAAGTCTTAATTTGTAGGATTGGCTGTGAGAATTATTATTATTGTTGTTTACTTTTTTTTTTTTTTTTTTGAGACAGTCTTGCTCTGTTGCCTGGGCTAGAGTGCCGTGGCATCAGCCTAGCTCACAGCAACCTCTGACTCCTGGGGTCACAAGTGATCCTTCTGCCTCAGCCTCCCAAGTAGCTGGGACTATGGGCATGGGCCACCATGCTTAGCTAATTTTTTCTATATATTTTTAGTTGGCCAATTAATTTCTATTTTTTAGTAGAGACGGGGTCTCGCTCTTGCTCAGGCTGGTTTCGAATGCCTGACCTTGAGCAATCCACCCACCTCAGGCTCCCAGAGTGCTAGGATTACAGGTGTGAGCCACCACGCCTGGCCCAGCTGTGAGAATTACATATGATAAAGCACCTAGTCCAGTGACAGGCACATATACACTGCTCAATATATGATATTAATTATTAACATGATGGGAGCAATGGAAAATAATAAATGGTTCTGTATTTTGCAAGAATGCAAGAGTCTCTCACATGTGATGAATCTAAGGTGACTTGTTAGAAATCTTAGTCTCTGTCCTCAACCCCATGAAGTCATTCCTTAAGTTCCCAATATTCTCTGTACTTTCCTACCTCATGCTTTTGCTAATGTGGGTCCTCTGCTTAAAACCTCCTTCCTTCTCCCAATTACTAATAAGTAGCTGAGCAGGTATTAAAAGCCCAACTTAAATCCATCCTCCTCCAGGCTTTCTCTTAGAGAATCCCTCTTTTAATTTACCTGTCCTCCCCCATATCCCTCTAGTACACTGTATCTTGGTTACAATACTTGTGCCTTCTATTAATATTTACTCATCTGTAACTTGGGTCTCTTCTGCTAGGCTGTGTCCTAGAAGGCAAGCATCAGGTCTGATTCCTGTCTGGATCCCTCACAGGGCAGCACAGGGCCTGGCTCAGGGCACAGGCCCAGCTGGGCTTGTAGCAGCTAACTCAGATTTATTAGGTGTCCCCATTGTGACAGAGCCGGCAGGCAGCTTGGGAAGACACTGCTTGGAATTATTGTTTCCTACAGCAAAAGGCCCATCTCTCCATCCTGGACCTCCACCAGAATGGTTCCAATCTAAAGTGTGGAAGAGTAGAAGACTACTTCTTTAGGGATTACAATGAGATGCCCCCTATTAATGGGAATAATGTGATTATCCCTAGAGTCAAACTGGTACAAAAATAAACAACATTAGACATCAAATGAAAGTGACTTTACAGGACAGGCTGTTTTCCCAATTAAAGAAAGACACATGGCCTGGTGTGGTGGCTCACGCCTAGCACTCTGGGAGCCTGAGGCAGGTGGATTATTTGAGCTCAGGAGTTCGATACCAGCCTGAGCAAGAGCAAGACCCCATCTCTACCAAAAATAGAAAGAAGTTAATTGGACAGCTAAAAATATACAGAAAAAATTAGCCGGGTATGGTGGTGCATGCCTGTACTCTCAGCTACTTGGGAGGCTGAGGCAGAAGAATTGCATGAGCCCAGGAGTTTGAGGTTGCTGTAAGTTAGGCTGAAGCCATAGCACTCTAGCCTGGACAACAAAGTGAGACTATCTCAAAACAAACAAACAAACAAATAAATGAAGAAACACAAGGCCGGAAAAACTACATTTTTCATAAAGTGCCCATAGGATTAAGTGACATTAGAGATACAAAGGGATTCAGACAGTAGGCACTCAATCTAGGCACCTTGGCTGTTCTGTTCTTAATAAGTCTACACTGGAGACTACCTTATCCATTGTCCCCTATGCGTTTAGTATACTTGAGTCCTTCTCTCAGGCCCAGGCAGTTCAAGGAGACAACCCCCAAGCTGATGTCTTAACCCTAGGCCCGATGTCTGCCCCTGGGCACAATGCCTCGTGGAGCTGGGAACTTTTTTCTCTGACATTTTCATCCATGCTTTAACTCCCAGAGGTTGGTGAAAATCCCAA